ACATTTTTGATTAGGTTTGTAATGAATTCATTGGAGTAGTCTGGAAAAAATAAGCATTGGAGGACAAAATGGAGAGGTGGACATGCTATGAAGAGTGACATATGAAGAGTTAAGGTGGCCTGAGCATGGTGGAGCAGGCCTTTACTCCCAGGACTCAAGAGGAAGAAGCATGAGGATCTCTGTGAGATCCAGGCTAGCCTGGTCTACATAGCTAGTTTCTGGATCAGAAAAGGTTACAAGTTCAAAACACCAAACATTTAGAAAGAGAAAGTGTGCTGGGTGAAGGCCCCTGGATGAATTTACCTGAAAAGAAGCCATCTGTCTCCTCCTTCTGTGAGTTTCCTTGCCAGGCAATCTTACATAAACTGTCTTTTCTTTCTTTTCAGAGACTTCCTTTCAGTTCACTGAAAATCCACTTCACCTGCCAACATAACAAGAGGAAGAAGCACCTCAGAAAACAAAACAGGTCGTTCTCACTGTCTGCCTTCACATTAGATGTGTGGGAAGAAAGAGCTCAACATGGAGACCCCATTGAACTTAGCTGCATTCTTGCCTTTCAGTGGCCGCCCTGCCAACAAGATCAAGAATTCCTACTACATCATGGGAATGTAGCCACCTCACCTCCATACCTGAAAAAGGCACAGTAACATGGTTTTCAGCCTTTGGACTAGAGGGTACACTAAGCTTTCTCGAGAAGCACTCGTCATTGACCCAGAGCCTAACTGTGCCAGGTGCTGTTAACTGAAACAGCACTGACACTTCTACTCACCTTCTTAGACAGAATTTGTGTGGAAGATGCAATAGGAAGTTTTCCTTTTAGATGCTAAAGTTCAATGAGATTAAAAAGTCCCAGCACTCAGGAGGCAGAGGCAGGTGGATCTCTGGATCAAGAATACTGGCTGCTCATGTAGAGGACTTTGGTTCAACTTGCAGTACCCACATGGTGTTAACAGCTGTACTGAAACCTGTTCCAGGGGTTCCCACACTGTCTTCCGGCCTCCAGAGACATGGCTCACATGGCTGCGCTTACATACATGCAAGCACAACATTCTTACACATGAAATAACTTTTTATAAAAATGCAACCTTTATTGGGTGATGAAATGATATTTTATATACTTATGAGGTATCCCTGATATTTTGTTAGACATATACATGGGAGATTGATTTAGTAAGTTATTGATATATCCACATGTAAATTTTATACGATCCTATCATAAGTGTATCCAAATTGATATTTTCTAACCATTTTAATATATAAAATGCAACTTGGAGAATTTAATTTACCCTACTTTGACAAAGAACAGTAGAACTTAGTTAAAGCATAAAGCCATCACCTGTTTCTCTTACTTACCCCACATTCTCCGCATTCCCTGCAAACTATTGTACCTTTAACGTCTATCACCCATCTTTTCTTTTTCTATTTCTCTTATAGTTGAGATCATGTAGTGATTGTGTTTCAACTTCCTTTACCTGGTAAGGTGTCCACAAGATCAATCCTGTTCTCAAGTGTCAGAATATCCCACTCTTTTCTATGACCAAATTGTGGTGGATTCATCACATTTCAATGAATCTTTCATTTCTTAATGGACATTTAGTAATTCCATATTCCTCAAACAATGCTGCCATAATTGGGAAGTGACTATATCTCTAGGCCATGCTGAATTCACTTCCTTTGAGCATCCAGGATTTGGTGGTCGGAGCCGCACGAGAGAGAGAACACCTGTGGCTTGTTCTTTGGCATCTGGTTTATCTCAGTACAGCCATTTCGAGCTCCATCCATTCACTGAAAACTCCTTGACTTCCTTTTCCTCTACCATTCAGTAGAGCTCCAGAGTGTAAATGTACCAAACTTACACAATCCATTCAAATGCTGAGGGACGTGTAGGTTGTGCATCAAATTTAAAAGAAGGCAGAACAGAAACTTTTTTTTTCTAAAACTCGGATTGATCATGTACTTAACTGAAACATTAAATGTGTCTCCTCTGATGAGTTGGGAGGGCTTTGGTTGAAATTAAGGCTCTCAAATTCTTGAAATTTCATGTTGAAATTTTGAATTTCAATTTTGAAGGAGTAGTCACTTTAGAATAGACTTACAAAACAATGCTCAGTCTCAAAACTATCTTGTGACATTTCCTCCAGTATATACCTTTTAATATGAGAATTCATGAAGTGAGAAATGTGTTAATAGTCAATTTCAAAAATGTATGTAGAGAGCAAAATATCACATCGCACCTCCTAAATACATATAGTTCTTCTTTGTCAAAAATTAATAATATCGGGCTGGAGAGATGCCTCAGCAACAATGGCTGCTCTTGAAAAGGACCTGGATTCAATTCCCAGCACCCAGATGGCAACATAAACACCTATATCCCCAGTTCCAGGGGATCTGATGACTTGTTCTGACCTCAGTGAGCACTGCCTGACATGGGTGCATTTATATACATGCAGGAAATATATTCATATACAAAATAAAAATAATAAATAAAAATGTTTAAAAGTATTAAAAAGTGGAAGCTATCCCATAATATTGCATTTTAATTTATGGATGTCTGACTCCATGGCTCAAAATGCAATTTCTAGTAATTGATGATAATGTTTTTTCACATTAAGAAATTGTGCCGGGGTGTGTCCCACAGGGCCACCTGTCTGCTGAGTGTGTTTCAGGACATCACCAGCAACCCCAGAACCCAGGTGGTCATAGATTAATGCACAAGACACCAAGTGCTCTAGCACCCTTGTATGCCTGTGCTGGGTGGTTCATGATGTGAGCCTTTAGAAAGGACCTGGATCTCTAACACAGTAGTGAGCTCAATAGATAAAGAGAGAACACAACCAATGCCTCGCCGATTGGAATATTCTGTCAGAATACTGACATTTATGGAGATTCTTCAGGTTGAATGACTAGTGTTCTACCTCTAATTACAGCTCAATCCAAATTCCAGGTTGGAAATGGAACTTTGTGATTGAGTAGCAATATTATATTGTATAGTTTCTGAATTGACCATGGAACAAAATGAAATAAGCACAAACCCTCCCAAAGGACAAACATGAGAACAGACACAATTACATTACAGTGTTCTTTTCTCCTCTGAGAATTTCACTTTATGAGACGTGACGTTCTCTCACACAGACTTACACACACACACACACACACACACACACACACACACAGAGTAGTTCAGCCAAGAAGTCTGAATATGAGTAAGGAATTCTGTAAGAAAAACTCTCACCCACAGAAATGAGAGAGCTGCAATTCTCTGCCATCTGGTCTCTGTATAAAGTTCTCTGAGCAGGATCTAGGCACTCCTTCTCCTCTTGTGAGAAGTCCACAGCCACCTCACCGACTGTCACACACCCAGATATGAACAATAACAGTTTGACCATCTCTCCACAGGCAGATTGCTTTTCTTGGATCAAGGAGACCAAAGAGACTGAGAGGCATTTTTGATGTAGGGATGATGTTTTCTGACACTGTCATATTCCCTAATGTGTTTTCTAACTGTGGAAATAGTACGGCAGAATATCCTCATGCTCAGCATGCATACTGTTTTTTTTGGACTACAGGATCTAAACTTAAGATCTCAACATAAGAATATACATTTTAATGCTGGATTCATATTATAAATTATATATTTCAGATGAAATATTAATGGTGAATTAAAAGTTTACTTCTTCAGTGTTAATGTTTACAAATATAACTGTGGGTGTCCAATAAAATAAATGTTCTGATTCTCAACAATCTAGAATCATTCCTTCTGGGACTAATTCTAACAAGCTCTCTAAACATGGCAAGACCCCTGGTCCAAACGCCACTCCCTTAGATACAGAAAAGAACAAGGATATCAGAATACATGGATGCATTTAAACTGGAAGAGCTCTGTTTTTCCACAACAGAAAAAGGAGGAACCTTTGGCTTGAAGTAATTCCATCACTCCGTCTTATTTGCAAACATCAGCAGTGCACACAAGCCTAGTGTGGCGGAAAAGGCCTTTAACCTGAGCACTCCGGAGGCAGAGGCAGAGGCCTGTTATCTCCCTGAGTTCAAGGCCATCATGGTCTGCATAGTGAGTTCCAGGCCAGCTGGGACAAAAGGAAGACACTGACTGAATGTCATAAGCTTTAATAATCTAAATCTAAGACAATGCACAGAACAAGGTACCCAAATATTTGAAATCGAATTGGGGGACCTGCGATCCTCGCTGTAAAGTAAGCATAAATAATGTTGAAATCCTGGGTGAGTTTCGCCGACAGGCCTCTAACAGCTTGGAGGCCCCAACTCTGGCAGCACAGTGTTCAGAGCCACGCCGATCACATGACCAGGAGTCTTTCAAAACGCCCGTGGTTGGGTCCACACTCTCCTCTGACCTGCTGGGCCGTCGCCGACCCACCCCGCATCAGCTCTGCACCAACCTCTCCGCCGTGGTTCCACTGGCCACAGTGAACTTCTGCATCCCACCAAGACCCCTTCCCTTCCGCCACCTCAGGGTCCGCACCAACCTGCTCCGGTGTGGAGTGCGCCCTAGTTTTTCAGGCCCTCAACACTCCAGGATCCTGCCTACTCTTCCGACTCCACCCATGCCACGCCCCTTCTCTACTCATATTGACTGCTCCACATCAGTTCTTTAGCCTTCAACTCCTCAGACCCTGGTGAATGTCCCCCGACCCATTCAGACCCCGCCCCTCGCACGATCCTCCAGATCCCAAACAAGTGGCTCCAGGTTTCAGACTAGCCCAGGACTCAGTAAGCAGCCTCTTTCTTTACAGGGTTGCTGTTAGCTTAGACCACACCTGGACCTAGTAAGACACCCTACCCCCCTACCTAGCACCCCAGCCTGGTTTCAGTCCTCTTGAGACAACCCCCAAGACACCCAGTCTCAAACCTCATCTTCGGATTCCATACTCCTGGGATAAAAAACTCAGGAAAAGACGACAAACAGCCTAAATAGAGATGCTCAAAGCCCATCCCCAAAACACTAAAAATATCCAAGAAAATATGTCGTCGTGCCCCGCCCCCCCGCCCCCCCCGCAGATGCTCAGGTCTGCTGGTGAATGGTGAAATGAATGAAGGTAAAGGACCCAACTCTCAGGTGGAGAAAGGCAAGTTTAATTCTAAAAGTGGCTCTTTATACATAATGTGCAGGAACGGGCCAGGATACAGCATGCAAAACATAAATCAAGCAAAGTTCAAAGTAAAGGGTTTTTCTCTTTTCTGTTACTGACCAAACCCTTTCCCAGAGCTCCAGTCCATGAGAAAGAAAAACACAAGCCCATCCACTATCATTCCTGCTATTGCAAGGCCATGTTCTGCCGTTGACGCTGGGGGATGATGTTCCACCAATGTCCAAACAGTCTCTTGCTTTCAAGAGACAACTAGATTCTAGCTTGTCCTTGATTCTCCTTTTGCAGAACTGAGCTCCAACATCCCCCACCCCCAAGAAAAAGCACCAATTCCATAGCAATGTTCCCTAAGCTTGCCATTTAAAAGAAATCTAAGATACAGAACTCAAAAAGAACACACACATATTTACAGGGAGTTCAAAGCATATTGCTATGAAAATTACCCTGAGACTGACCAGGACAGGGAAGAAAAATCAAACCATGTTCAGTAAGTGGAGGAAGTCTATCCTTGGCTACATGTAGGCTAAGCTGCTCCAGAGATACTGAGGCACAGACCAGAAATACATACAGGTTTTTGTAGAATATCTTATATCAGCCCTTGGCAGTAATCATATTGGTGGATTTGAGGATTCCAAAGTATATGGGCCCCTTACATTATTATAGGAAATTTAGACAGTCAGCATTTGTACAAAAGCAGGTATTTCAAGAAAGCATGGGCAAGGACTCTGACATTTCCAGTAACATGCTGTATTGCTGATGCCAGAAGAATCACAGCTATTTGAAGTGGTAAGACACATTGCAGCTAATATTTCTTCAGTACCACTGCAAGAGGGCAGCATTCTTCGAGGCACTCACAGGCTATGGTTTTTGTCATTTTGTCCTGTGACAGCTTAAAGCTTAAAGTGGGAATAAGTATTATATGAAATGCACAAAAACTCAATAAATACATTACAAATAAAAAAAGAATACAGTAACAAATAAGTAAATAAATAAGGAACTAAGAAATTTCAAAATGAAAGATAAAAGAGTCAGAATTCATGGAGTATGGTGACACCTTCACAGTGTTGTATCAGTGCCAGGTTATCAAAGCCATCCATGAGGACTGGGGTGGCATGGACATGCTGGCATGATTTGGCAGCCAGAGGCTTTGGCTCTGGAAGACATTTCTCCTTACAAAGGTGCCCAAAGTTCTTACAAAAAAAGGTCAAATGAATCTGAAATACTGTAACAAGCATGTTAC